GCAGGAGGCATTCAGAGATATGCTGTCTCTGAAACTTTTGGTGGCATTCAGGCATCCTGCCTAGCTGGCATTGAGTCCCAAATGGAGGAAGAATCAAAAGGGACCTGTCTGTTTTGGTTCTGTCAAACAACAACATTGATGATGATGATGATCATATAATAACCATAAATCTAGTCTGCATGTGAGTAAGTGTGTGTGCCTTCAAGTGGCCTATCGACTTATGGGGACCCCATTAATTTCATAGGATTTTCTTAGGCAATGAATCTTCAGAAGTGGTTTCACCAGTTCCCTCCCTTGAAATATAGCCAACAGCACCTGGGATTCATTGTTGGTCTACCATCGAAGTATTAACCAGGACTGACGCTGCTTAGCTTCCAAGATCAGATGGTGCCTTTAGGGTATTGGGATACTTGGACTGCCTCAAGATGTACAGTGTGTTGAAATTGTTTTTCCACCACTAGATGGAGTCCCATAGTTAGGATAACTGTCATTTAGTCCTACCTATTTCAGGTACACAGTCTTGTGTATTGCATTGTTCCTTTTCTTCCGGCTTCAGCTGCGGATCGCATTTGGTACTGGGCGACATGTCATCGGAGAGACAACGCACCTCTCGGATTCGGAAACCTCCTTCGCAGGATTTGGAGCACTGCAAGGCACAAATTGGAATTCACTGTGGCAAGGATGGAAAAGATGACATTATCCCAGGAGAGCAAGTAGTCCTGCAAAAGTTAACAGACTTCACCAATAACTACATTTTCTTTTTTTAAATGTAAGGCGATGTTAATCATTCCAGTTGGCCTCCATGCTAGGCAAAGGCTGCTTGTCAGTAATTTCATTATGTGCATTGTACCATCGTGCATATACTCACACTTTATTATATCTGCTTAAGGGTAAGTGTCACAGACATGGAAAGGAACCCAAAAATAATGGTGGTTAATTTCTGAGCTGATAATTCAAATAATTTATGGCTCAGATTAGATCAAAGCTTCCCAAATCATCTGTCAGAATCGCTTACAGGGCTGTAAAAGGCATGAGATCTAGAAATTTAGCTTTTTAACATTGCTGATGTCCAGGTCTACTTAGAAAAACAGCAGCTTGCTGATCAGCCAACTAGGTCCCTTGCCAGAAAAGTTTTCATCAGTTTCTGGGACACAAACAATTCCTGACCTGCTTTACTGCTGTCATTTAAATGTCATTGCACAGATTTATTTCTTTATATCAAGTCCCTGTGACATTTTGTTATACTTTGGTCAGTCAGAAAACACATTAAAATGTGTCCCTTTGGGGGGTAAGGCAAACACAAAGTGTGTTTGTTTAGAAAAATGGATCGGAAATACAAAGGAAATCCCATGCAAGAAAGGAAGAATATATGCAGATTTTCTTGCTCTTGACAAGAAAGGGTCAGAAAAAATGGCACTCAGAATCTCTGATGATGATGATGATGATGAAGATGATGATGATGATGATGATGATGATTATAATTTGATACTTCTTGCAAGAATTCTGCAAAGGGCTTTTGTCGCTTGCACAGAATGAAATGATTTTGCATCCAAAAAGTCTTATTCAACATTGCTGAGCAAAGTGCAGTTCCTGGGCTACATCTCTGGACCCCAGCTTTGCAGCCCTACTCCCCCAAAACATCCTCCAACTATTATTATTATTATTATTATTATTATTATTATTATTATTATTATTATTAGAAATTTTTGCCTGACAGGCACACAGAAAGCTCCCTAAAAGCACAAAACCAAAAAGCCTCCAAAACTCTCACACAATTCCAAATGCTTCTATTTCCATTGGAGTCCTTTTTTATATATAAAATTATTTTACTATTTTAAAAAAAATAAAATATACACACATTCACAAAAGCAATATAACATATTCTTATTCAGTTATCTTATTTCAATGATCTCCTATTACTTCTAATTTCCCTAACAGGTATTCTTGGTGAATTCCCACTACCTTCCATCATTATCTGTACAACCTTATCTTGAATTAATCTATTATAGCATTGTGGGTTATTCCATTTACTTCCACTTCCCTTCTTTCACTTTCCATACAATCCCTTTCACATCTCCTTTACCCTCTCTTTATCCTTTCAATTTCTTATTCCCTTCTTCTCTAATTACTTTTCCTCTAACCTTCTTGTATTTCTTACTCTCCTTCACCTTCCAACACACCTCCACTATCTTCCAATCTATTCTATCATCGGAGTCCTTTTCAAAGTGGTAACAGAAAATAACACAACATTACCTCCATTCGCCCTTTGGGGGAAAGACTCTACTGGAGATAGCAATATCCTTTTGGACAATAAGAACCTTTTCTGTGCAGGATTTTTTTTTTATGTAGAAGGAAATGCCACTTTCTGCACATAAACAACCCCTTGTGAATTTTGTGCAGAACGAGTCCTGAACTGTGAAGATTCTTGTTAGACCAGGATTCTTCTTATCATAATATCTCTTATATAGCTGTTTTAATATTGTGTATACTTGCTGAATAAAGATTTTTTTAAAAAATATATTATTTCTCAACACTCAAAAACCATGTTCTTCAACAATTTAAAAATATGTTTTGAATATTTGTTCCATTTCTAGGATAAAGAGGGAAGGTGGGAGGTGGAGAGAGAAACTGGGACATTTTAAAAGCAGCTGAAAAAGCGGGCAGCAGAGGACTAATGGGATCTGTTCCTTTCAAATCAACACAGATAGAAGATATGAAGTCTACTTTTTTATCTTTGCAGATGCAAGAATCCAGAATTTCTATCCAGTATGATGTCACTGTATCTTACATTTTTTAATGCATAGGATTCATTCATTGACCAGGGAGACCAACTGACCGCATTCCTGCAAGAGAGCAAGGAGGAATGAAAAATGGGAAAGTACTTACTGTGCTCCATTCAGTGCTGAACCATTTTGCACCGCAAGGCTTGAGGTAGCAGGTCTGCTGGCTGGGAGGCCTTTCCAAAAACGAACATTCATAGGGATTCAAGAGCTCAAAGCTATTCTCCGTCTTTCTGATGCATAACACTTCCCTCTGCTGGGTTCCACTGCCACACTCAATTGAACACTGTACCGGGAGACAGAAAGCAGAGAGAGACGGTGACAAGACATGGAAGGAATTAGTTTACAGAGCTTTTGAAAAGATCCGTTTCACATGTGCGTTTGTGGGTCTGTGTTTGGAGAGGCAGGGTGAGGCAGGGTCACTCCAAGAGTTTCCATGGATGAGCATTTGAACCCTGGTCTCTCCAAGTCCTAGTCCAACACTCAGACCATTACACCATGCTGACACTATTTCCCTCCACATGGGAAGGTTTGCCAGGGAGCCCTGGTGGCGCAGTGGATAAATGTCAGTGTTGCAGCCACAAGGTTGTGAGTTTGATCCCAGGCAGGGCTCCAAGGTCCACTCAGCCTTCCATCCTTTCATAGGTTGGTAAAATGAGTGCCCAGGTTGTTGGGGGCAATTGACTTACACAATCTAAACTGCTTAGAGTGTGTGCATGTGAGTTGCCCATACTGGCATAAAGTTGGATTTACACTATCATAATTCTCTTACAGGAGGCCAGACAAAATTTACTTGGCTTTTCTGAAAGGGGTAACTTTCTTCTTTTCTCTGCATAAGAGATGAAAAAGAGAGAGGGTCGGTCAGAGATGAATCCTTTACTGATTAAGAACATGTTAGCTTGCCCTTGAGTCTTTATCTCCGGCTTGGATACTAGCTAAATCCAATCCTGGGTAAATCACAGGTCTGCTGTTCTCCATGGTTAGACACCAGTAGATAAAAGCATTGCTCCAAAGGCAAAAAAAAAAAAAGTCAGCAGATTTGTTAAGCCTCCAGAGTTCAAGGTCAGAATCCAGCTCTGCTTGCTTCCAAAATAAAATAAAATAAAATAAATCCTCAAACTGTGTGATATTTTGGGAACGGTGCCGGGTGTTCTTTTTTGTTTGTTTGTTTTATCTTTGCAACATGCTCCTGAGCAAAGGGTGTTGGCTCCAGTTTCGAAATGTAAAATTTGGCTCACAGAGCCCTTGATTCTCTCTTTAAAGGTTAAATACACACACATAATACTGTTCCTGGCACTTTTTGGAAAAGGTCTCGAGAAGACAAATCCAGCAATAAGCAATATATTGGTTTCTATCAACTGTTTATATATATATATATATACACTGTTTATACTATAGGTAGAATTTTTGTAATATCCTGAATAGATACTTATCCTTGGTACCAGTGAAAAGTACACTACAGGCAAAATCAACACATGCTTTACCTAGGATATCCTAAAGTACACAAACACTGACCAGCCTCTGAAATAATGAAAGCTTTAGAGTTGTATTTTTCACAAAGAACTCTCAGAAGCAAAAGGCATGATCCTGCCCAAGCTATTCACTTTTAAAGGAACATTTAAGGAATGCTTTAGGACATTTAAACACCAGGAGAAAATTAAGCAAAAATTCTTGCTGGTCTACACTTCCCAACGAGGTTTCCTAATTGTTGAGAAACCCATTTATTTCAACCTGGGAATGAATAATGACGAATATTATTTCCATTCTTAGAGTGAAGAATATCCAATATGTTCCTCTTTCTCATGGATTCAGGATTTCTTAACATGCCAAGAGACCTTGAGGAGGAATTTTCAAGCCCTGTCAGATGTCTCAGCTCCGAAGTGACAAGACAAGGGAAGCATTCCTTTCCATATCAGTTTGAGAGACCAGGGTTCGAATCCCAGATCAGCCATGGAAACTCACTGGGTGACCTTGGGCAAATCCAAGTCTTTCACCTTAAACGAAAGCAGAGGTCAAGTCCCCTGAAAAGAATCTTGCCAAGAAATCTCTATGGGAGCTTGCATTGTGTAGTGCTGAGCTGCGACTCTGGAGACCAGAGTTCAAATCCCTGCTCACTGGGTGACCCTGGGCAAGTCACACTCTCTCAGCATCAGAGGAAGACAAGGCAAACCCTCCTCTGAACAAATCTTGCCAAGAAACCCTAATAGGATCATCACATGAGCTAGGATGGTGTAGTGGTTTGAACACTGGACTATGACTCTGAAGACCAGGGTTCAAATCCCAGCTCAACCCACTGGATGACTTGGACAAGTCACACTCTTTCAGCCTCAGAGGATGGCCATGAAACCTCTTCTGAGGGGGAACCTGCCAAGAAAAACCCACAATAGATTCACCTTAAAGTCAGAAATAACTTGAAAGCACTTAGTCCTAATGTAGGATCTCAACCATCATTTTTGGACCAGCTATTGAATATTGCAATGATATAGCATGAAAACTGTGAAATGTCTGTTTTGCATGCGTGGATGGAAAAGGTCACAGTTTTGTAATGACTCGAATTGAAAGAAGACACTGATGATCTGTACAAACCCAGCTGCCTGCATGGAATTGTTGCCATATTCTCCACGAATCAATCCTACACACTTTGTCTATGCGTTGTGTGTATACACACATATATTGTAACTAACAGTGGAGAATTAAAGTATTACGGGTTTTAAAATGTCCGTGGGTGCATATTGCTGAAGAATTTATTGCTTTGGAGAAATAAATTAGAAGCCTGAAGCAATATGGTAGATTTATGGATAAACTCAGTGTGGGGACCCAGAAGTTCAAGACATAATTCCTGTTAACAGCATTGTAAATTGCTAGCCCTGGAGGAGTTTAACTCTTAGGGAGCCAGTTAACAAAACAAAAACCATGGAACTGGCCCACCCTTTACAACCCAGCCTTGCAATCCAGAGATATATTTCTGGAAAGGATGTTTATGCAAAGAGAATGAGATTTGGGTGTTCAGCCGAAACCAAGCCAGAGACTCCCAGACTCACTAATTCCAAAGGCTTGCTAAGTAATAAAATAACCTTTTCAGGACTATTTTTAATTTTATTTATTTTTAAAAAGGCCACAGTGTCCACCTGATGTCAATAGGAGACCAAACCTTACCATGTTTATTTTAAACATTTGGAGGAAAAAGGTTTCCATTTGGAGTTGCTTTCCCCTGTTCTCCTAAGTTATCCTTTTGGTGAGAAAATGCTGCATTTCATTATGATTTCATACCTTGGCCATCTGTGGAATTTTTCCTTGACAGTTTTATTGCCTGGAGTAGTTTTTGTTTACATAGTTCATCAATAATCTAATTTAGACCTCTTTCTTGACAACATGTGTTGAGAGGCAGAGGAAGAGAGAAAAGAGCGAGGAAGTTAGAAAAAACAACCCAGTTTTATTCCTGACGAACATAAGATCCTAAATGTTTTATCATTCCTTCTGTCAAATCAGTCAAATTAACTGGCATGATCATCCACATCCATGGCTTGGATTATGAAAATGTGGCATTTTTCATTTCTCAAAGCCACAATCCTGAGGAAACCCAGTGCTGGGGCAAAACCAGATCCCATGAAAAGCTTCTCCATTCCCTCCTTGTGGTTTTGAAAGTATGTTTGTTTGAAAGTACGGTTTTGATATACAATTTCAGATTGCTTTAGCATCAGCTTTTTCAATTATGCAATATTGAATGTGTTTAGATATTTTAGTGCCTTGCATTTTGAATCATTCTCATTTATATTTATTTTAAGCTGTCCTTATGATAAGTAATTCTTTCAATGAGGGGGGGATAAAGCCAAATGCTCTGGAGTATGACATTAGCAAAACTTAAATTAACAAAAATATTTCCTCTTTGTATTGGAAGGAAGGGATGATGATTCTGGCTGCATCCGCACTGCAGAAATATTCCAGACTGACACTGCTTTAACTGCCATGGCTCAATGCTCAATGGGATAATGGGAATTGTTGTTTGTTGTGACACCAGAGCTCTCTAATAGAGAAGGTTAAATGTTTCACAAAACTCCAATTTCCAGAATTCCTTAGCATTGAGCCATGGCAATTAAAATGGTGTCAACCTGGATTATTTCTGCAGTGTGGATGCAGCCATATACAAAAGGATTTGCTCCACATTCAGTCAACAGACATGTTAAGTCCCCTTGATTTCAGTGGGAGTGATGGACAGCAGAATTGTATGTATATCTATTCAGATATCCCATGGATTTCAACAGAATTCATAGAATCATAAAGTCAGAAGGTACACCAAGGGCCAGTGCAGCTAATGTATTTTTGACCACCAACCATCCAACCTTGGTCTAAAAACGTATAATACAAAAGAGTCCATCACCTTCCAAGGAAGTGTCTCTTATTGTACAACAGGTCTTACCTGCAGATCAGTGGAAAGTATTCATAGGATTTTAGCCCAAAGTACATAATTGTCCAAGCCATTGTATTTCCCATCACCCTGTATGGATGTGACAGCTGGACAGTGAGAAAGCAGATAAGAAGAAAATCAACTCATTGGAGATGTGGTGCTGGAGAAGAGTGCTGAGGATACCATGGATGGCCAAGAAGACAAACAAATGGGTCTTTGAACAGATTAAGTCTGAATTCTCCCCAAAAGCCAAGATGGCTATATTGAGGCTGCCATACTTCAGACACATCATGAGATGATATGACTCACTAGGAAAGACAATAATGCTAGGAAAGGTGGAGTGCAGTAGGAAGAGAGGAAGACCGCACAACCAGATGGAAAGACTCAATCCAGACAGCCATGGCCCTGAGTCTGCAAAACCTGAGCAGAGACAATGAGGACAGGTGGTCTTGGAGACATCTCATTCATGAGATTGCCATGAATTGAGGCTGATTCGATGACGGTTAACAACAACGTAATTTTCCCTTTTGTTGAAACCAAAGGTACTTCTCAGAAGTTATTTTCCCCAGCTCCTCCCCAAACATTCTCAAGATAAAAATTTACCTGGCTCCAACTTGCAGCAAACCATTCCACTTTCCCCAAACAGGGACCATTGTCACACGGGGTTGTTTCTGGTGGTCTGTTGTGTCCACAGCCCTCTAGTGGTAAACTGCTGATGTGGTTGGTCATGCAGATGACAGAACGTGTTCGGACTCCTGCACCGCATTCTGCTGAACACTGTTATGGTAAGAGAGCAAAACATCCATTAGCCCTGTTGCTGCATTGGAGGAAGGCAGTAATATGTGGCACAAAAGGAGAAAAAAATGCAGATTGTATAGTCAGGCAATTTTTTGTTCTGCAGTTATTCTTTGTTCTGGGGTACTGGTGGTGCAGTGGTTGAATGCCAGTACTGCAGCCACAAAGTTGTGAGTTCGATCCCAGGCAGGAGTCCAAGGTCCACTCAGCCTTCCATCCTTTCATAGGCTGGTAAAATGAATACCCAGCTTGTTGGGGGCAATTGGCTTACACACTGTAAACTGCTTAGAGAGTGCTAGTCCATTGATAAGTGGTATAGAAATGTACTTGCTATTGTGTGTGTCTGTGTGTATGAGAGAGAGAATTAACCCTCTTGAACCATGACTAACAATTCAAATCTTCATTTATCTTGTCTTTTTATCCATGATGATGAAAAAAAAATTCTCGTCCCCAATCAATTTGGTTAGTTTACTTGTACTTGTACATTTTCTATTTCCATAGAATAGAAACATATTCTTGTTTGCATTTGAATATTTGCATTTGCTCACAATTGTTTGCATTTGAGTAGTGCAATGTGAGTATTCAGATTTGTGTATTCATAAGTATTTACACTTTAAGTAACAGAACTGGAGTATTAACAAGTATTTCCACTTAAGCACTCATATTTCAGTACTGAATACTATTTACACGTATTTGGTGAGTATTCACATGTATTTGCATTTCAGAACTAAGTTTTGAATATTCATAAGTATTTACATTTCAGTATTGGAATAGGAATATTCAAAAGTATTCCCATTTGAGAACTGGAACATGAGTATTCAGAAATATTTAAATTTGAATATTCACAAATATTCACAAGCATTTGAATATTCACAAGTATTTACATTTGAGTATTCACATTTGGGTATTCATGAGATTACTTTTGCACAAATTTCACTTGCTGTTGTTTTGTATGTATTTTTAAGATGTAGGTGCTTAACAAAAGGGGAGAAGGAATCATTTTATAGTTTCTTGTGTAAATAACACAGACGTTGATGGAGAAAAAGTGTCTGTTGCTTTCCTTTGGAGTTGATGGCGAAAAATCTTGCAGCAGTTGTCAGTTTCATGACAGGGTGCCCTGACATGTCAGGCCCCCTCTCTCATGAAGAACAAAGAAACTGGTGAGTATTCTTTACATTGCTGACCAGGTTTTGCTGTAGAACCCATACAGCACTAGACCAACAAAGTATGCATTCTACAGCATTCTTATCTGAATGCAGTTATAATCAACAATCAAGATCCTACCCAAAGCTGGAAGGGCATCTTCTGCATATATGCAATGGACGTTTGGAAGAGCCAAAGTGGCCAACCATCCCATGCCATCCTTGTAGCCAACTACTTTTGTGCAGCTGGGTAAAACTATTGCAACAGGAGTTACAGGATGTATCCTTGTGCAACATCAGAAAAAAATTACTTAGATTATGTCACTCCCAGATAATACTAATGTAAAACATCATGTTTCTATCACTTGCCATGTACACTTTGATATTTTATTACAGACAAAAGACAGGCCAGACAAACATATACAGTGGGTCCTCCACATTTGCTGAGGTTATGGGTGCAGGACCCCCATGAAAGTGGAAAAAACACAAATAAAAAGCCACTATTTTTTTAACCTGAGATGACGCCGCTCTAGGAATGTCTAGGTCCTCCAGAGCAACTCTATGGTCAACATCTGCCAGAAGGACCTACAAATGCCTAGAGAAGTATTTTCTCAAGGAAACTCTAGGTCCTTCAACACAACCTCTGGTCAAAGCTGACAACAGAGTCATATTGGAGGACCTAGATATTCCTAGATAGAGCATATTAATCAAATCCAGGAATAATCAAATCCACAAAAGTGAAAGACACAAATGAGGAAGGATGCTGTATATGTCTGTGGAGAAGCAGAAGTGAAATTCTCAAATTGTCAGTAGTTTTTCTTTACTTGGAGGGGAAGGGAAATGTCATTGGGGTTAAGAGTACCTTTAAATTTAACCTTAACTCTTGACCCCCAACCCTAATCTCTATACACTGCAGTCATGGTTATTGGCTCCTACCATTGTGGCAATGA